GGGAGGAGGCGAGGATGGAGAGCATTTGAATCTAGTGACCGTTGCAAGATGTTGGAATCCTACTAAATGCACCGAAAGGCCGCTAGACGATTGTAGGGGTATTGTCACAAAACACACCGTTTCAATTACCACCTAGACACATCGTTTAAATGTTGGTGTTTCTTTTATTTAGATGAGAATCTTGCCACGTGTTGGCTATTGCTTGATAATTGGAAGTTGTTCTTTTTATCCGCTCTTTCAGTTAGTATTTGTAACAGAATGCCAGCGTGAAAATAGATGCAAATTTATTTGAGGTGTTTTTTATTGGATATCCAGCAGAAAAAAAACTTGATATTGCTTGGTTTGTCTTCCATGGATATTGATAAAAAGGTGATATGCATGCCTACTGGAAAATGTACTTCTTCTTGCTGGGTCTGAAATTCAAACTTATGTTCACTAGGACCTTTCAATAATGCTAGGTCATTAATCAGAATTCAAAATATGAGACTGCTGATGGTGCATCAGTTAGAGATACCTTTGATTCACATATTCAGGATTCAGAGTTTCGGCCATTTTTGGCATATAAGTAGGTAATATTTCTTTTGGATATTTTGAATCTTGGCCTTTTACTTTGATTATAGATGTACAGCTATAAAATATTGTCTGTTAGGGCACCTAAGTTTCTTTCTCCGGTGACACACTTATTGGTGAGGTTTGGTTGTGATCTGGATGTCAAATAATACCAACGAAAAGTGAGAAAGGGAATCTTCTTTAAATTGGATTTGAGAAGGTTTATGATCACTCGAGTCAGAGAGGACCGTGAGAAAGTGATGCAGGTAGCGTTATATATTATATCTTACTGTGAAGAAATTAGTTCCAAAAAGAAGATACTTTGCCTGGGTTTTATTTGTCCAGACTGAAGTTTCCAAAGTGCTCTGTACATGCAATGAAGCTTTAGGTCTGTCTTCATCTTATTAAGAGCATGCTTTGGGCCATCTCCTCCCTTTCTTTTCTTTTCTTTTTTAATTTTGTTGAAATTTCTAAATGAATCATGCCAATGGCTTCTACTTTCTATTTTATTTTTAACGCAATTTAGAACATTTTAGTGTTTTCTGCATAAAATCAATTAAATATTTTGTTCCCAACTCATTTTAGTATTTTCTCATGTATCCCAGAGCTTAACTTGCGACTGTTTCATTGTTCTCAAGTATCCCACATTTAGTGATGATGCTTACTCACTATCTTTTCAGCTTACGAACATAATATGGGGAGAGGCTGAAGATAGTAATGACCATATCGTGCCATATCCAGAGGCAAGTGAAGATTATTGCAAGAAAAAGGAATCGAGTGAAGACGCTAGCACCATTAAATCTAGTGAGCAGAAGGCACCTGGGGCTAAAGTTGATACCGATGGTAGAAAGCTGGAGAGCATTTCGAATGTTGACGCAAGTGAAGGAACTTCTTCCTTGGGACTTGACATGGACCGATGGCATAACCTGTCCTCACCTAATGCTGCCAAAACTGAGCAGGATTCCTTGGAAACTTCAATCTCTAACAATCTAACTGAGATTACCAAACTCGATTCATCAGAAGGCGATGAGATTTCAATTACAAGGAAAAAATGTTGATAGGGTGATGAGTTGCATGATGTTTTCATAGCATAGTATCTTACATGCTACTGTCATTCTAATTCTTTTTTTTTAAAAAAAAACGCTGAGGCAGATCATCTTGATAAGGACACTGAGATTTTTCAAAATCCTCATGAAGGTAAAGAGCAAGGTGATTTTCATGATAATGGCTGGGCTAGCCTTGGAAGCTTTGATGATCTTGATCGAATTTTTAGGTAAAGCACAGTTACCATTTCTTACTTTCTGCACCCAAATGAAAGATGGTCAGCAGCACCCTGATATGGAAGTGAATGTGAAGTGAAAGTTTCGCGAACAAAATAATTATGCTCGCTGTCTATTTTCATTTCAGAAGGAAAAAATCATGTAGTACAAGAGTGTTGTTGTGAAGGAAAAACAACCAGACTCTTTTAATAATTGTAGTTTTTTCTGTTTTGGATCCATATCCTTTTCCAAATAAGTGCTGTCAGCTGAAAGCAACACCAACAACAGAATGACTAGTTGTTTGAAAATTTATGGTTTTTGATCCTTGGCTTAATTTTGTTAATTGGGACACCGTACTCTACAGGCTTCAAGTTATTATTTCAAAGGTATGCTTCACGTATTATTGCATTCTTTCCCTGCTAAATAATTTGTTCTTGGTTACGATTCCAAACCAATGTTTTACAACAGTTGGATGTCAGAATTAGACTTTGTATTCGGGATAGCTTGTTCCAGCTGGCTCAAAGTGCAATGCAAAGGCATTGTGCTAGTGATACTGGCAGTACAAACAATAGTAGCAGGGACGAGCAAGTTGCTGCAAAAGAGGAAACCAGCCGTCAAAGAAGGTTGGTTAAGGCAATGCATTTCTCATGCTTCTGTTTTCAAATTTAATCTATCCTCTCTTTTTTATATAACATTTTTGCTCTATGGAAATCTTCAATTAGGATCTTTTAATGCCATCACCATTTTCTGTTTTCCTTTCTCATTCTAGAAATTAAAATTGAAAGCGGTATCCTCTATTGACAATGGAGGAATAGTGACTAAAACAATTCAATTAGGGCCGCGCTTGCTCTTAGAAGTAGAAGAAAATCTAAACAGAAAATTTTTTATTCCTCCTTCACTGGATTTCCTTAAAAACTTGACCGAATTTGACCTTGTTGATCAAATATGTAGTAGTTCGCTTCCACTGGTAATGCCGAGGTTTTCTTTTATTGTGAGCACACTGAATCATCATGAGGAATAAACACCAGTATTGATAGGGATTTGTATATGCCTTCAGCAGCGTAACCATCAAGAAGTCGCATTTGTGCATGCTGGAAGCATTGATGTTCTTAATATAGCTACGTATCTACTGCAAAACAATGAGCTCTTTGATGTGAGTTCTCAAGATGATGAATTTCTGTGCTTTACTCCTTTCTCTTGAGTGACAATGGCCACATTCACTTGATTCTGAATTGTGATTCCCATAGGCGGATGAATTTTATATTATCTCTTCTTTTTATATCTATAAAAGATCTTTTATGAATGTAAAATTCTTTAATCAAGTTTAAGTAATAATAAAATAGATAAATCCACAGTTTTTGGATTTTGAATTTTTATAAAAGGGGAATAGATTAGAGAAAGAGGTAGGAAATTTTTTTTGAATTTTTGTACATGCGGAGAAGGAGAAAAGGAGAGAACAGAGATTTTAATGCTTTTGATTACTTAAATTTTGAATTTTGATTTTGCCGCGTCAACAATGAAAAATCTGTTGCAGATTACTTAAATATTTTTTAATTCTTTTCAGCTCTGCCGATGCCAGTTCAAAATCTGTAGCACGTGATGTTTCTTTGCCGCATTTGATAGAGGAACAATAGTAGCATTAATTATAATATAAAAGATATTGAAATACAATGATGATTATTATTTATGGAGATGAATGAGAGACAATAATTATGGAAGAAAATATCTGTATTTCATTCATCCAAATTTTAACTGAAATTGCCTTTGACTACTGAAAAGAAAATAAACTATTTAGTAGCAATACCTCAATATGTTGGACGATTGAAAGAAAACCTCCTTTCAACTAATGTCTACGCGAGGAATGTAAGAAATCTTGGGCCAATCTTTACCTTTCTCCCTTTCACAACTTTCACCCAGCATAGGACACCTGTGAAGTCTAAGAGTAGAAAGGGAGGAGGGCAACCCTTCTTCTGGCATTGACTCAATCAAAGGGCAGTTCCTTATAGTCAATTCATTAAGAGAGGTGAGGTGTTGAAGCCCCTTGTAGTCAAGAGATTTCAGGTGTTCTAGGGAGCTGATGGTAAGAGATGTAAGACTCGAGGGCAGCAGCATCTCTTCAGGGAAGGATTCAACATTTTCGTCCAAACCAATTGTGAAGTGTGAAAGAGAAGGGAGCGTTTGCAGGCCCCATTGCATGCGGCCTGCAATGAGTTTATTGCACCTCCAAATCTCAAGTGATTGTAATGTGGAGGGAAAACCCCCTTCTGGACACAACTCAACTTCAGAACAATCACTTATTGTCAAAGAGTAAAGGGATGGGAGGAGAGGAAATGAAACTAATTTTGGGCACTTCTGAATTTCCAAAGAACGGAGAAAGGTGAGATCATTGAGAGGTCTTTCATATGCACATAGTGATTCGAGATCTGGACAGTCAATGATAGAAAGAGAATCTAACATGGGGAGCAAGTCCAGCGCGACGCATTTGAGAGCACAGACCTTGATTTCATTTTTCTCTATTACGTGGATCAAAGTTGGGCTGATCAAAGCATGAGTAACGGTATGCTCACATCCACTAATTGTAAATCTTGTTACACGTGGAAGGTGGTGACGAGGTATGGCCTTTGCAAGGTTGGGGCATTTTTCGATTAAAAGCTTCTCTAGAAGAGGGAAGGCTTCCCGGCTGCCTTCGTCTGAAATCCACTCGCGCCACTCTGGCATACTTCTAAAAGATAATGTTTTGAGGGATTCAAAAGGCTTCTTCATTGCAGTACAATTCCCATAGAACTCAGGCCCCACAGTCTCAACTTTTTCGAATGCTTCAATTAAGAGAGACTCTAAAGAAGCTAATTGCCCAAGTGGTGGTATGGAGGTGCAGTTTGTACATCTAATGAGCTTCAAGGACACTATATTTGTGAAAGAGGACTCTCCTACCCACTCCGGAAACCTTACACCTCCATAACCATAAATATGAAGAACCTTCACATTTCTATTGGGCTCTAGTTTCTCAAGTGTGCTTCTTACGTGTTGCGGGTCATGAGTGTCCCCATCCCATGTCAACCTCAGCTCATCAAGGTCCTTTCTCCCTTTCAAATTTGCCTCAGCTGCATCCCGAGCATCCACTATATTTTGAAGGTTCCCAATATGAAGTTCTCCCTGTAGAAATCGTAGCTTTCCCAATTCTTTAATGCTAGTCTCACTCTGTCTTCCCACCAGAAAGTCAGTCAACGTTTGGAGCTTTGCCAGTTGACCTATATGTGGTGGCATCTCTTTCAAAGGCGTCGCTTTGATGTTAAGATACCGCATGTTGATTAACCTTCCCAGAGATTCAGGCAATCTTTCGATTCCTGTTCTTTCAAGATTCAGATGTCGTAAATTAATCAAATTTCCAAGATCAGGTAGACTAGCAAGTCGTTCGCAATAATCCAAGATCAACGTTTGCAAATTGAGAAGACCACACACCTCTTCAGGCAACTTTACTAAATAATTTGACGCGGAAAGATCCAAATACCGCAAATGCTTCAACTTACTAGTTGAACAAACCATTGCATCACTACAATCAGTCATGAATAGCACTCGTAGGCGCCCAATTGTTGACTGAAAGATCTCATCATAAAAATCAGAATGACACTCCAGAAAGCGTGGAAAAGTTCGGTATGTGCGTAGATGTTTGGCTTCACGGATGATTTCTGATCCTGTCGTTGAACAAAAGCCTCCCGTATCTTCGACGAATGATAAATGTCGAGTCCTTCTAGTGGACTTGGAAGACTTATTTTTCCCCCACGTGAAGCTGAAGCAAAATTGACCGGACACATAGATAGCCAAGTCATGCATGAGATCGTGCATCACAAATGATGAGCGAGAGGCACTTGGTTTCTGGAAAAACGACCTGGACAAGAGATCATCAAAGCACACAGCACCTCCTTTTTCCATATCATCTACTTCAAAGTGGACCAAGAAGCCCTCTGCCATCCACAGGAGCACTAATTCATCCTTTTCAAATGAATAGCCTTTTGGAAATATGGCACAATAAGCAAAACATTGCTTCAGATGTGGCGGGAGATAAAGATAACTTAATCTCAAGGCTGGGAGGATATTGTTTTTGGGTAAATCCCATAGATTGCTTTTCAATATCTTCTCCCACTCCTCGACATCTCTTTGGGTGCGTAGCAGAAGTCCTAGTGTTTTTGCAGCTAGAGGAAGGCCTTTACACTTTCTCGCTATTGCTCTGCCAATCTCTAGCAACTCTTCATGAGCAGTGGGGTTTTCACCACGAAATGCATGTTTGGAGAACACGGACCAGCAGCTGTCTTCCGTCAATTCTTTTAGATGATGAGTTGTAACAGTTCTCACGACTGATGCTACACTTTCATTGCGAGTTGTGACAAGAATCTTACTCATCCCTTGTGCTCCGTACTTCAGGGGGGTAAGCAACGAGTCCCACTCAGCATGATCTTCATTCCACACGTCATCTAAAACAAGCAAGAATTTCTTTCCCTGCAATCTCTTCTTCAACTGAAGCTGGAGGCGATCCAGATTAACAAGACCAGGCTTTGAACCGAACCCCTCAAGAATAGCCTTGGTTAACCTCAAAACACTGAAAGCTTCTGAAACACAAACCCAAGCTTTGAGACCGAACCACTCTTGTACTCTGCTGTGATTGTATACAAGCTGAGCGAGCGTGGTTTTACCAACCCCGCCCATTCCCACTATGGGAACGACACCTGGGTTTTGTCCATTTGCATCATCTGATAGAAGCAACTTCAGTATTGCTTCCCTGTCATCATCTCTATCATAAACACAACGTTCATCCACCAGAGAAGTTGTTGGCCTTTTAGGCGATGATGGTTCTTTTCCAGTGCGGTTGATCAAACCAAGGGCATCCTTTTGCTTAACCAAGTCATCTAGTCTCTCCTGGAGGTCTTCTAATTTGATCGACCGCTTCGGCGTCTGACATCTCAAGGTTTGAGCTCCAGCTTCCAACTCCTGCCATAGAGCTTCATAACCAATCTCGTCCAAGAAGTCGTCGGCCTCATAGGCCGCGTCTTTATACTCGTCCAGCCAATCTCGCACAGCTGTATTTGTTATCTGCTTCTCCTCGGCATCTTCACGCAGCCCATTGCCAGATATCATTGTTGTCTTCAACCTCTTCAGCAGCCTATCGTCAAACCAAAATCTGGGATTCAATTTACTTGAAACTTCTTCGACAATTTTTTCAATTAATTTTGATTCATGCCTGCGCATAGAAAAAGAAAGTCATCACCCGTTGTTGAAAGATAATCTTTTGAATTTAATGCAAATTTAAAATACAAAATGTAATACGAGTAAAAGTTATAAGCATTTGCTATCGACATAGGGAAAGAAAAGAAGAACC